GGGAGTTGGTCTGGATGGCGTCCCCTGATTTCCTGCTGGGGCCGGCGGGACCCCCCCTGCTCCCCAGCTGGCTGGCTGGAGGGCTGGGGCTGTTCTCCAAGCCTCTGGCCGGGTGTGGCGTGTGGGAAACTGACACTGAAGTTTGCAAAAACGGTTTCCCACCGTTTGGCCTTTGACATACGAGTTGAAACGCAAAAAGTAGAAGGAGGATGGTGTTGCGAGTCAAACTGGTGTATGTTTTTTCTGCCTGCCTTAGTAGCCCTCTGTCTGGAGGAGGCACAGGCATTTGTGCGAGGTCCGCCTTGGAACGCGCGCTGTAGCATAGACACACTGTTTTCTTTTGGATAAGAATGTTTCTCTTCAGGGAGGTCCTGGTCACGCCAGCAAAGCTTGGAGCGCATGCTCCTAAATGTACAGGTGGCAAATCTCTTAAGTCTGGCTTTGGAAATTTCTGCAGTTGAATTTTCGGACTCACCCTTACAAAATACACTTAAAGATGTGTGCAGGTGGAGGAATATGAAGACATTCCATATTTGTATTTCAAAGCAGGGTAGGAGACACTGAGACAAAAACTGGGATCTTCGGGGAACTTGCAGCCTTCAGATTGGATAATAAGCTAAATAAATGTGTCACTTAGTAAAAAATGTTTGTTTTTTAAATGTGGTTGCTCTTCGAACAAATGATGACCTTTCTTAAGTCTTTATCCACACGAACCCTTTTAAATGCTATGCTCGCTCAGAGAAGAGGGCAGTTGGCAAGGAAGCCTAGCCAACTTAAATACTACTTATTTTTTTTGGAAAAAGTCATTTGATTCGCTAGATGTCATTTGACAGATGTTTTATTTAGATGTTACACAGGAAAAACTTAGATTCCAAGTCTTGGGAGCATCAGGCTATCTGAACACAGAGTCCAAGCAAGTGATAAAACTGAGTAGATAAAATGTTTTTAGTGACTTCATGCTAATGATACATGCCTAGCACTTTTTTACAAAAACTTGATGCAGAGTGATTTTTGAGGTTTATTCATCAAACGTATTTTTTCTGATTGGGAGGAGAAGGCTACTTTGACTTTTAGGATAAAATGTCCTTGATATTTACATTTTTTTAGACTTGCTCAGTAGAACATCTAAATAAAACATCTGTCAAATGACATCTAGCGAATCAAATGATTTTTTCTAAAAATCTATTAAAGTAGTATAATTGCTAGGATTCCTTGAAAGCTGCCCTCTTTTCTACATGAGTGAGCATATCATTTAAAAGAGTTCATTTGGATTAATGTTTTAAAAGTTTTTTTTTAAGTCATTTATTTCATTTGATATAATAATGATAATGATTATGTGCGTGCTTGATAATGTGTGCTTGATGTTTTATAAAAGGCCTAAAATGTACCTGACTGTCGAAATGACACAGGTTGAGTTTAAAATCTAATGAGAATCAGAATGCATCATTCTACTATTTCTTTACGTAAACTCTTAGATGCAACCAGGCAATTATATAGTCTGTTCTCTTATGTAGAGAGAGACGGGAGATGCCCAAAAAAAAGACTGGTGCGCGGAAGAAGGCAGAGAACCGCCGGGAACGTGAGAAGCAACTGCGAGCATCGAGGAGCACCATCGATTTGGCCAAACACCCTTGCAATGCCTCCATGGTAAGTGGTCTACGCTCTTTGCTGTTAGGTGTTGGCTCAGAGCTGAAAACTATATAATGGCTACCTCAAATACACCAGAAGACGATTGCAGGGAATTGACCGTTGCTAAGTATATTGAATTTATGTTCAAGATATGCTTTTTGCTCTCAGTAGTACTGAGAACAATGCCCTTTGTTACCTTGTTATTCATAAAAGTTAGCTTGTAACTTCAGGTGCTGTAGGTGGCAGGTGGATAACAAAAAGGAGACAGGCTGAGAAACATGCAACCTCATACACCCTTCACTCAAGTTTTTTTTTTACGATTTATTTATGTATACAAAAACTGGGGTACAGGCCAGAGGTGCGGAGTGTGAGAGGATTCGCAGAGACAGAGTGGGGAGCAGAATGGGCAGATCTACCGAAAGCCACTGCTGAGGGGAGCAGCGGGGAGACAGGAGCGGCTGCGGCGCCCTGGGGTCAGCTGTGGCTGCAGACAGCGTCACAGTGCTGCCCTTTCACCCAGTGCGCCCCGGGAGGGCTTGAGTAATCAGCTCATTTGATTTTTCTCTGCTCTTCTTGGTCTCCCTTGTGTCCTGTCCCAGTCCTGTGTCCCTGGGTGGGTGAGCCCCCATCCCTTCGGGGCGTCCCTGGGTAGTCGTGAGAACAGGGCGGCATTTGCGTCATTCTCGGACCTCGCCCGAATCGCTCCATTTTCCCCAGTTCTGTGCTCCCCTACTTCTCCCACTCCCCTTTCTCTTTCTCCCCATCAGACAACTATGAAACGCCCAATCTGACTTACTTCTTTCTGCATTGTTGTGCACCTGCGGTGTGTCCTGCACTGTCTTAGGCGCTGTGGAAGTGCGTCAGTGAATGACCTGGCCCCGCTTTGCAGTGCCACGGACCGCTTGTTTTGGGGATACTTAAAATCGGCTTAGAATGGCAAAAGTTCAAGTGAAGTTAACTTTAGAAGAAAAGAGTTCATTGACCGGATCGTTGTGTTGTGTAGTTGGAAAGGGCAGGGAAGAGCTGCAAGGACTGCGGCGACCGTTGCTCCAGCTTTACTTTCGCTCCTAGCGGCTGCTCAGCTCTGTCCCTACTGTCCAGCGCTGTCTGTTTGGGGTCGTGGCCGCTGGCAGGTCACGAGGCTCACGTCGCATGTGGTGGTCATGATAGTTTGGGTCAGTGTGGGTCCCGCCCACCCTGGCGCTGGAGGGAGCAGGGCTCCGGAGCAGCGGTAATGGGCCACCTGTGTGTCCGGCCCTGTGGAGAGCAGGAGGAGCGGCAGACGCGGGGATCCTGACAGGAGGGCTCGGCTTGGTAAGACATCTTTGTATTGGCTGACAGGTGAGAGAGTCAAGGGTGTGGACAGGGTCCAGTTCATGGGGGTGTGTGGTCAGCGCTGGGACTCCCAACAGGAAAGACGGTGAGGAGGGACTTTTCGAGGAAAAGTGTTAGATTAAGTAAAGGCACAGAGAAGATAGAGTGCAAGGCTTTTTGAGGATGGCTGACCACTGACTGCTAATAGTCCACAAGGTTTGGAAGTGGTCAGGGGCCAGATCTTGGTGGACTTTTACTGATACTTTTAGGAGTTGGATTTTCTGTGTGTCTCATCAGTTGTGTTTGCTGCTGTTTTTGGTGTCGATCCTGTATTACATTAAAAAAAGGACAGACACGCCAGTTACCACTGTGTGTGCCCTCTTTTGTGAAATGCTCCTCTTCCTCTCGTGTGGGTTTCCGGAGCATTCCTTTGTTACTGACAAAGTAACATGCCTAGATGCATGTGTATGTGGCTTCAAGGCTTGGGGTGCCCCTTAAATTTTATAAAGCTATTCTTTGCAATGAGGGTAAAACTGTAATTTTCAGCAAGTAGAAACATTAATGTTTTGGTTTTATATTTTATAGGAATGTGACAAGTGTCAGAGGTAATTATTTATTTTTCTATCACATGTAGTAATATAGATCTTTTCAACCTTTTGTCTGATAGTGACTATATTTAAAATTTTTATTTTGCCAGGCGGCAGAAGAATAGAGCGTTTTGCTATTTTTGTAATTCTGTCCAGAAGCTACCTATTTGCGCGCAGTGTGGTAAGTATGTGGTCACGAGGACACATGCCTTTTCTTTCTTCACATATTTGTTAGACAGCTAGTCAGCTTGAACTTGAGTTTATCATTCTACAGTCATGTTATGCTCGTTATGAAAAAAATGATAAAATATTACTTGTCCTACAGAACAGCTATGAAGTATTAGTTTTGTCTTTGACATGATGCTTTAAAACAATTCAGATGCATCATGTTGTTTCAAATATTAAAACATCAGATTTCAGACTAGTCACATATGGTGATCCTAAATTTTGTTTAACACCTATATGTTATGTGATAAATATACTATATATACATATTTTTTAAAGATTTATTTATTTGTGCATACAGAACTGGGGAACAGGACAGAGGGGTGGGGGTAGGGTGAGAGGATTCACGAGAGATGGAGTGGGGAGCAGAACAGGCAGACGAACTGAACGCTGCAGAGGGGAGCAGCGGGCGGGTCAGGAGGGGTCTGCTGCGCCACGTGGGTCACTCCCTGGCCAGGGATCGGCTTCATGCTGCAGCGGCTGTGGGAGCCTCACAGTGCTGTGCTTTAGCCCGATGTGCCACCGGGAGGGCCGATAATACTGTCCTTACAATAAAGAAGCGAGAGAAAGGCCACATTGAGGAATCGTATGGAGAGAAGGCATTCCCAGTGCTGTCCTCCTCGGCAGTAGCATATCTCAGGACATCTGTTTGCAAATAACCCGCACACAAGTGCACCCCCATTCTTCAAGCCTGTGTAGGTCAGCTCTGCTGCTCCACAAGACTCATGCTGCAACCATTGCTTTCCAGGGAAGACAAAGTGCATGATGAAGTCCTCGGACTGTGTCATCAAGCACGCTGGGGTGTACAGCACCGGCCTGGCCATGGTGGTGAGCTCGTCACTGTCCCTTTCTCAGACCCGTTGTTTCAGTTTCCAAGGACAAGAGACCTTCTACAAGTGGTTACACTTTGCTCACTAGCACAGCTCTGTCTTTGGTTCCGTCACTCTGGACTTTTTTTGGCTACTTCTTTCTTATTGGGGGAGAAGGAATGGAAATGTTTTTGTTGACTAAAGCAAAAAATTAATTTGAAAGTGTGCCTTTTATTATTATATTATTATTATTGTTATTTTTTATTACAAAGTATATTTTTACATCATTTGAAAGTGTGCCTTTTTAATGTGTGTCATTTATGAGAAAATACCACACAGAGTTATATAGTCTCTTCGTTGCATGTAGTTTTCTAAGAAAATCCACTGATTTAAATAATTAAAACAATTGTGTTAGGTGATCCATTTTGCTTATTTTCACCAAAAACTATTTTCCTTTCAAACTTGTTTTATTCAGTTCTGTTCGATGATTTGATGCCCAGTCCAAAGTTTTAGTCAGTGAGAAAAGTACTTTTAATTTACAGTGATCTTGCAAGAGCGTGTGAGTTACTGTTTTGAGGTAGACCTTTACATTATATATTCTGTGTGTATAATAGACTGTAGTGTTGTTCCTTTCTTTTAAAGAGTTTATTTTTGTATAGAAGAACTGGGGTGTATGCTAGAGGTGTGGGTGGTAAGAGGATTCACCAGAGACAGAGTGGGGAACAGAGTGGGGAACTGCTGAGGGGAACAGCGGGGAGACAGGAGAGGTCTGCTGCACCCTGTGGGTCCCTCCCTGCTGGGGACCAAACTCTGGCCATAGCCATGATAGCACTAGGCTTAACCCCTAGGCCACCAGGGAGGCCCTAGGATTCTTTCTTTAAAGAAATCACCTAGTACTGAAGCTTGCTGAGTTGGTAAACGTGGGTAAGTCGAGGTTGTAGACAGCTCGGTGACACAGGGAATCTTCTTTCTCTGGTGCAGGGCGCAATCTGTGACTTCTGTGAAGCGTGGGTCTGCCACGGCAGGAAGTGCCTCAGCACCCACGCCTGCACCTGCCCTCTGACCGATGCCGAGTGCGCGGAGTGTGAGCGAGGCGTCTGGGACCACGGTGCGTGGTACAGCAAGCCGTGCGTCAAGGGAGCGCGGGGACAAACTTTTGCTGGTTCACTTGTCGATTTTTATGGTAGTTTTTACCAGGACTACCACGGATTTGAGGTCACATGAGTTTTTTAAATTCAAATTTCCAGTATTCACATCCATGTGTTTTGTTTTCTCCAACAGGAGGCAGGATATTCAGTTGTTCGTTTTGTCATAACTTCCTGTGTGAAGACGACCAGTTTGAACATCAGGCCAGTTGCCAGGTTTTAGAAGCGGAAACATTTAAATGTAAGTTTGTAAGGATGTTCTCTGTGCCCAAGACGCTTAGTAGTATTAGTGATAAGCCCAATGAGAAGGGAAAGTTGGTTTTCAGCCAGCCTCTTACGGACTCTCACTTTTCTATTCTAGAAAAAAATTCAGAGCCCATAGTCCCTTGTTTTCCAGAGGGTTGGCGATGGTTGCATGGGGCTTTATTTTGTGAGCCCGAAGAGGCATAGGACGGGCACTGCAGGGCCTCCCCTCGGAGTGTCCTTTTACCTCAGAGTTAGCTTAACCGCTGACTCTTGTGAACCCCCACCCACCTTCCGCAAAGGCTCAAGTTTCAGAGTCAGATAATTGCTTGGATTCTACTTATTGCCTCAGTGATTTTGGGGATGTTCTCAGATCTTTCTAAACACATTTCCTTCTCTAGTAAAGGAGATGCTCATTTCTTTATCAAAGAGTAACTTGAAGAGATTCCACCTAAGCACTACCAGAGTATACCTGGAACTTACAAGCCCTCATTAAATAGTGGGTGCTATCATAAGAAAGGCTGAATGCCCCACGTCTTCATCTCTTTGACCTTGGTTTTTGTTCTGGGATGAAATGCTAATTTCTATAAAGTATAATCATAAACTCTCTGTGCTTTATGAAGAATAGCATTCAGTCTTTCTCAGAACTTTGGCTTACTCATCTGTAAAATGGGAACCAGTTGGTAAATCATGAATTTCAAAGACACACAATATACAACTCATAGAAATTCTCAAACGTTGAAAGAACATTTCAAAACATGAGGCATTTTTGAGATATATAATACAGGTTTTTGAGAATGTATAGCTTAAAACTTGGGTGCTTTTATTAAGAGCTTGGGAATTTTGTATGCTCTACAGCATTTGAACCCTAGAGACAGAAACTGAGTGAAATCGGCAGTCATCAGTAAATTTAACAGCTCAGTAGAAGACATGACTGAATGATCAACAGGATTTTAAGATAAATCTATCATCGTGTCTTTGCTGTCTGACATCAGAGTCTTTTTCAGTGCAGATTCTCAGGGTTTTGGGGCTTAGTGTAAGTGATTCCTTTTCTCATTGTTTTATTTTTCTCTGCATCCATATGCCAGGTGCCATCCGGTGCTTGAAAGTGTTTCTCTGAAATAACTGTCCTAGTCATGTACATGCACATGGTAACCAAAGACAGTTTGTTCCTGCCCCTTAATTGGGCCTTTCCTGTCATTGTATAGTAATGTCATAGCTGTGAGTCAAGAGGCTTAGAGAACCTTCTACATGTGCGTTTACCTGCATGGCCAAGCTTCAAGAGAAAGACAGGCCTACGTGTTCTCTGCCTTTAGTTTTTGAAGTAATTAAGATGATGTGGGGACTTACCTCTTAAATGGCTTCCTCTCAGCAGGCTGGATGCAGTCTAACCTCTGCTTTCTTTTAAAATACTCTGAAGATGTAGACATAGATTTTAAATGAAAACTATACCCCAATTTAAAACTAGGAAAGTCAAAACTACTTTTAGAATCTGGGAGAAAAGCTTTCTATAAATACAGCCAAGATTTTGAGTCTGGGGGAAAGTAATAACTCTTCGTTGGGCCTGCACACCCATGTTGGGGGTAGGGGCTGGCAAGGCCACCTTCACCCTAGTCCTGGGCACTGCCAGAGGTCAAGATGACTGGGAGAGGCAGCTACAGTGTTCTTTGTGGCATGTCGAAGGCTCATGTGGTGAAGGTAGGAAGAGCCAGAAGTGCTTGGGAGAGTGGGTCAGGAATTTGGTATTTTCACACTTTCAGTGTGTGTTTTGACTGAAATTTACAGAATTTTGGCTAAACTAATTTGCCTCACTATTTTGATTGAAGAGTAGGCCAAAACATTCCCTGGGCTTATCCTGAAATGATGGGGTTTCAGAGTCTCCCCCACAGAGTGCCGGCGCACTGTTACTATTGGAGTAACTTGCACTGCTCTGTGATCCTGCATGCGTGCGTGCTCGGTTGCTGTGGCTTATTTTACTCACACGTAGGACAGGTCAGACCTACCGGAGCGAAAGGCTGCCTGCCCTTCCTGGGGGGCAGTGATCACATCATTGAGAGCATCCCCCTTGAGTTTAAAAAAAGAAAAGGCCTTGTGTGTCTAGACTGAAAAAACTCCCCACGAGCCAGTCAAACATAGGTATTGATAAGACAGTCTCCAAAGTTGAAGCATCTGGCTTTCTTAAGTTACAAAAATAGACCACTCTATTCTCCAAGACTGTGAAGGAAGGTTCGTAGTTTGTATTCAGACTTTGTCAGCTAAGGTCTACTTTGTTTTCCGACTCCTATACCTCCATTACTTTCCTTCTCCCATATTCTGGTACGTGCTTTTCTAATACGTTTGCACTTGAGTTTTTTCCCCTCATTAATTATTGCCAAAGACCTAAATAAATGTGAACTTTCACTGATTAAAGTAGTGATAAAATATTTAGGGACTTTTCCCTCTGTTGAAAAAACCTGCCCACCTGAGCAGTATTTTCTCTTAGAACTTCCTTTTGCATTGAAATCATCTGTTCTCTTATCAAAAGCGGTGCAAAAACTGGCGGTTGCCGGCGCCATCGGCGAGCACGTGCACGTCAACGGAGGCAGCTGCTCTCTTTCATTTTTACTGTTCAGTGCCTAAATGAAGGGCTCCGGCCAGTGTCGGAGAAGAACGTGAAGCGCCCCATTTCAGTTTCCTCAGTGGAACCCCCGTAGCCTGCCATCTCCCAGACCTGGGGAAGTCGCAGGAAGCCGAGAGCACTTGGAGCCACAGTAGAGCAGGAAGGCGGTGGGGTGCGCTGCCTTTGCCCGGGGGTTCGTCTCAGCGTCGTGTGCCCCGGGTTGTAGAATGAGACAGGAAAAGCAGTGCCCACTGGCGAGCTAAGACCGTGAAACCGTCGTTTTCCTCCGCTTCCTCCGCACCTGGGCCTGGACGTGTGTTCTTTCCACAGGTGTCTCGTGCAACCGGCTGGGCCAGCACTCCTGCCTCCGTTGTAAGGTACGCGGGCGGGGTCTCTAGTTTAGGCGCTTTAACTCACGCTCTCCTCCAGCCTGTGAATCCGTAGCTGTGATCAGTCTACAAGGCCCTGAAAAATCGGTAGTTTAATCCTTCTAGCGATGTTGGCGTTGAAGTGGAGCCTTCCGCCTCGTGTGGTGGAGAACGTCCTGGCCAAGGTGATGAGTGTTTGTCTCAGTACCTCAGCCAGTAGCCGGCGATGGCCCGTTTCCTTGGGTCCTGTCGTCGCCAGCAGTGGGCAAAGATACAGGCGCAGCTGGTTGGCCCCGGGAGCATCCTCTGGCCCTTACGTCCCAGCCCCATTTCTCCCCTCTTCCCCACTCCCCTTCCCTCAGCAGGACTTTGCGGCCCTCACACCTTTGCCTCCACCCTGTGCTTTGGTGCCCCTTTCGACACCCCTTTCCGCACAGTGACTCACACCCCCACCTGTCTGCAACGCGTGGCCCGTTGCTCCGGGCAGCGGGCTGGCTGCCACGCTGCCCTCCGGGCTTCCTGGCTCCCCATGTCGGGGGCGGGGGTGAATGCGCCCGCGTGTCCTCCCCGCCTAGGGCTCTTGTTAGGCCACAGTTCAGAAGGGACCGGCAGCGGCCTCTCCCTGGGGACCTTGAGCCAGGAGTGGCCAGCCCCAGGAAAAGTCAAGTCTCTGCCCTGAAAACAAGCTGTATCTTTATGTTTGACAAGATGTTAACATGTTTGTACTTTTTGTGAGTTATTTATTAATTAATTTACTTGTAGGCTTGTTTCTGTGATGAACATACAAGGAGCAAGGTATTTAAGCAGGAGAAAGGGAAGCGGCCTCCCTGCCCTAAATGTGGGCATGAGACGCAGGAGACCAAGGACCTCAGCATGTCAAGTAAGGGCCCTCGGCCAGCGTGCGGCCTTCGGGCCCCAGCTGTTCTCTCTTTTTTCTCCCCCCGCCTTGGTTTTTGCCTCTTCTGCTGTTTGAAAAGACGCATGTGTTCTCTCAAACAAAGGGAGTTTTATAGCCTCAGAAAATATGTGTGTAAAATTCCTCAATTTAACTCAAGAAATAATCCCATCACTCACTGTGCTACTCGGCGTTTGCCTCACTTAGTGACATAGCAGATACTGAAATTTAAGACCCAAAAGTGACTTTCTGTTTTTGCTGAGGTTTCCTTGTTTAATAATTGAGTAGCTATAAATACGTAATTTCCGAGTGCCATAATCTTTAGTACTTGAAAGTTAGAATTCATTCTGAACGTGTTCTTAGGTGAGTGAACAACTGTGCTTATTATGAAATCTGAAAACGACTGCAGGGCATTGTTTTATAGCTTTTACATGACTTTTCAATGACGGAATCAGTACTAAAAAGAAGCTCAGAATGCAGCTCACCATTTTGTTAAATATGACTCTACCTCACATGCAGGAATTGAACCTAATTCTGGGTGGCGCTGGCAGCACTTGCCTAGTCAGACCTGTCAGTGAGCTGGTATGACGCTGCTTTCCCACTCAGCCGACTATTTCTATTTCCACTTTGCTTTTAAGCAAAAGACATGAAAGACTTGTCTTCCAGGACAACTGCATTTTAAAACAATTCTCCAGAAAAATGTAGTGATGTGAAGTCAGTTCTTTTGTGATTTGTATGATTTGAGAGTAGATTTAATTGGTCAAAGGAAGGGCATTTAGTTTTAACATGCCTCATTTCTTTGGAGAGTCCTATTTTTATTTTGTTTTCCAATTCTCTAGATTTAGTGAAACGACACTAGGGCCTGTCGTGTGTGTGTGAGTGTGTGTGTGTGTGTGTTTGTGCATGTGTGTAGACTGAGCTGGCTAGAACTGATTGTCCTTTTAAGATCTCCTTTCTTTCCAGTTACATTTTAAGATTTCAAGGGAGCCCACTAGGGAATTGTGGTTTTCTTATTGGGAGTGAGAAGCAGCCAGTCCAGTTCATGTGATTTTACATGAGGAGGAAGAGGGAGCTGTGGAGAGTTGGAACTCACAAATCCTGTGCCTGTCCTTTGTAGCGCGCTCCCTCAAGTTCGGCAGGCAGACTGGCGGTGAAGAGGGAGATGGAGCTTCCGGGTACGACGCCTACTGGAAGAACCTTCCATCTGATAAGTATGGTGACACCACCAGCTACCACGAAGAGGAGGAGGAGGAGTATGAAGCAGAGGACGATGAGGAAGAAGACGATGAAGGCGGGAAGGATCCGGACACGGAGTCATCAGATTTGTTCACTAATTTGAATTTAGGAAGGACCTATGCCCACGGCTACGCCCACTACGAGGAGCAGGAGGACTAGGGGGCCCCGGCTCGCTGGTCCCTCCCCTGAGGGGAGCTGGGCTGTCCCCAAATAGTCACATCCCTGTGAGAGAGACAGTCTTGCTTCCCGGGCGCGGAGCAGGGCCTGGCGTTTCCACAGCGACCGAGCACCAGGCTTCTGCATAAGAAAAATGATTTCCAAATGTAAGATGTTTATTGATTAAAGCATCATGAATTGGATTTTTACTGCTTACAGTAATCAAGTAGGTTTTTCCAGTTAGATACCTATACAAGATAAGGAACAGGAGGATAATATATTTAAAAGTTAATTACCGGTTTTATCAAAAAACACTGTAATGAATTCATTCTGTCTGATTTTGTAAAATGTAATGGCCAAAATGAATTATTGTATTTTTCCTTGTACATCCACAGGATAAAAGTCAGATGTTATATTCTAAATTTTCATTAAATGTCCATGTAGTCCTAAGTCGCCGTGACGTGTGTGCTCTGGCAGCTACTTTCCTCACAGTGTGCGTCTGGAAAACGCCCGTCACTGACGCCTGCGTGCTGGGGCAGCGCCGTCGTCTCAGACACGGAATGAACGTCGTGGCGCTTCCCAGAGTCTAAAGCCAGGAAATGGCATTTTTTCTAATAAATCTAGTGTTTCACTTAATATACTTTTAATATTTAATTTCTCACCCTCCATTTTGGAAACTTATTTTGGAAAGCCGTCTCATATTTGCGTGTGGCGGCTTCATTTTCGGCCTGCTGTGCAAAGATGCGCGGCCGGGCCCACTCCCATCTAGCCGGAGCACAGTTGGTGCGGACTGGACGGTGTGGGGGGAGGGCTGATGGCGACTGGCCACCATTTGAGAGGAGGAAGAAAACTGCATTATGAGGATAAGAGGCCGAGTGACTTGCCATTCTTTATAGAAACCTAATGAGTAGCTGTGGGTGATGGGAGCCAGGGGTGGAAGCCAGAAGGCCTCGAGGTGCCTGTGACAAAGCTTTCATCTCGGGCTGGAGGGCTGAGAAGATGGCCCATGGGTAAGCCTTCCAATCGAGGCAGGTCTGCATGGCATGTCAGAATTCTTTGGGAAAGCCTGGGATCCTGACATTGGAGGTAAACATCTGATTGGATGCTGCTGAAGAGTAACTGCTCAGACTCCTGAACTTTCTGAGCCTGCTGTCTTGGCTCGCTCCTGTTCAGGGCAGCCACAGGCCCAGCACACTTGCAGACGGTGGCAGTCCAGCAGAACCTTAGATGGAAATGGATTTGCAGGTGTTACTGGTTAAATTAAGACGGGGTCACGTGGGGCTAGCTGAAGCCTGGTGGTCTTTTACGAATGGGGGGAGGATACACACAGACAAGAAGCCGTCTGAAGGCAGAGGCAGAGACTGGAACAAAGGCACTACTGGTCCCGGAGTGCCAGGGATGGCTGGTGGCTACCGGAAGCTGGTGCGAAACTGCACAGGCCCTCTGGGAGAAACAGACCCTGCCGCACACCCTTCTGAGCCACAGGCAAATGCGTTTTGCCTTGAGCCACTCTGCTTCTTGTCTGCACCATCGGGATTCTGGGTCCTCATGGGAGACTTAACAGCTCTGTGTGCCAGTTTGGCACTTGTGACTTTTTACATTCAAGGATCAACAGGCAAGAAGAGAAATCACTGTCTAGACGAAGGTGAGTAATTTTTTTTTTAAAGATTTATTTATTTGTGCATATAAGAACTGGGTACTGGCCAGAGATGCAGGGAGTAAGGATTCACTGGAGACAGTGGGGAGCAGAACAGGCAGGTTGAAATACACTGCTGAGGGGTGAAGATGACTTGAGCAGAGGGCTGTAGGCTGCTTTTAGAGATGGGCCAGCAGGGCACGGCGAGAAGCCAGGTGAGTCAAGGGTGCCCCAGCTGTTCCTCAGCTGCTGTGAGCAGAGCCAGCCTAGACTGCCTGGTGGCTGGATTTACTGAGCTTCTGGCTCACATACCCAGGACAGGCAGAGATGCCCTCTGGGGTGGAGCTGCCTTGGCTGGGACCAGCCCTGTCCAGGGCTGAGCACGCACCTGCTGACCGAGCAACGGGCCTGGCTCTTTTGAGAAACAGCTATTAAGTCAACATCCTCCACAGACTCTAGAAACTGACATTTACACGGGTAAGTATATTTTCCTTCTCTGCATTTTAGTCACGGTTTGGCAAAGTCCTTCCTAGAATATTGCAATGATGCACGCGAGCGAGACCTTTGTAAGTGACCCACAGGCACCTTCATGCGGAGTGCAGGGACCATGCAGTGCACACCTGTGCTTTCAGAATGACCCTGGTTCCTTATTTGCCTCGTGGGGATAATTTGAAGGTTGATACTTAATCTACTAAGTCCTTAATTCTATTTCATAGAATCAGATGTAGATAGCACAGTGATAAATTAGACACACAGGAGCCATCTTAATACAGAACCAGAGTTAAAACGTATATAAAGGTCAGAGAACTTCTGATAAAGAATCTTCATGGGAAGACAAAAGCATGTCCTGAGATCTGCTCATTTTCCCACGCTACACTGAGAAGCGAGTGGCGGGTCTAGCCAGACTCAGCTCCCCCCTCAGAGGCAGGAGGCCCATTGGACGCCACTTGCCCTCTGTGACTTGCAAAATCCCTTCAGGTGCTAAGTTGGGCATAAAGAGGAATTAAAGCAGGAGGCCAACTTAAATGTGCTAACCAGCAGGTCTTTGTTTTAAATATTTCATTGCCGCAGTGTTGATCACATAGCCCGTTTCAGGCTTTGTGCATGGAGGCCAGCACGTTTACCGTGAGCAGTCCAGTTCTGCCCTCTACAAGGCCACTGTCCTCTTTCTTCAGTTTACCCACTTTCCTCAGGCCCCTTTCCTTCGCCAGTTTGACTAAGCCATCTTCAAATAGGGAGCTGACCCTGGGTTCTGCCTGGGGCCTCATGAAGTCACAAAGGTGCTTCAAGATGGATGAGAGGCACTAGGAAAGCTGGGAAGACATCATGTGAGGTGAGGAGGGTTCCTGTCTCCCTGTGGCTTGGCACGTGGGCGAGGGACCTGGAGCCGAGCACCATGATCCCTGGCGCCTTAGCTCCTGGCACCGAGAGAGCGTGCAGGAAGTGGTGCTCCACCAGAGCCTCCGGGGGGAGTGGCCTGGGCGGCTGTGAGGCCCGGGCCCTGCAGACATGCAAGACGAAGCTATCGCGTCATTTACATCACTGTGTGATTGCTTGTTACACTGACAGTGATGATACACAACAGACAGGTCTGTTACCTCCAGCACCTTCAGGGAAAGTTCGAGCACTTTGGCTTGTTTTGTGGCACGTGGGACCATGCGCTCTGCTATAGAACTGTCCTTAATTCCAAACCACATTTATTAGCTAGGCCCACAGGGAGGCGCCAGCATCTATCGCAGGTGGTTCCTCAGAAGAGCAGATCACAAGGTGGCGGGCAGGCTCGGAGCCCTCGAGCTCTTAGTATCACTCATGCGGTAGAAGCGTGTAGAAGCGTCTTGGCAAGGCCGCGGTTAAAGCACGAGATGCTAATTACTGCTCCCGGCAGATCAGGGCTGCTACCTCGGTCCCCCAGAAATCTCCAGCAAGCCTTCTTGGAGACCAGGGAGGGCCCAGCCACCAGGGAGATCTCAAAACAAACTTTGGAGCATGAAGATTTCGGGACAGGACAACTTTCCTGGACCAAGTGCTAACAATTACAGAACTAGTAAACAAAAATGTGCAGAGGAGAAATACTTGGTGATGCGTTTCATAGGGGAGACCTTGCTCATCTCGAGAAGGCAGTGGTGAGTGGGGGGATGGGCCAGTTAAACAGACGAGGCTCTTTTTGGGCAAAACCCCTGAGCTCTCCACAGGTTAAAGTAAAAACAAGTAAACAAAGTAAAAATAGCAATGAAGTCTAAATAGACTGTGCGGCTGTGAAGCAAAACATATTATGTGGTTAGTGCAAGGAAGTGACTACTGGACAGCGGGTTCACCAACATAAACATGCAGGTGAGACACACGCACACACACACACACACACACACACACACACACAAAACACACACACACACACACACACACACACATACACACACACTCATGTTGCTACTTAATACGTGACTTTTGTATGTTCCCTGTGTAACCTCTCCTTTTTGCACAAATTTAGTATCTAGGGCTCTTTAGTTGATTCTAATTTTAGATATCAAGTTTTTCTTAGCCTCCAAGAAAAATGTTCAGAAAACACAATGAAAGCAGGATCCACAAGCCTCTGTGGTTCTGCTGTCAACCGCTGTCTGTGTTGGCCCTGGTGCGGGACACCTGAGAGGCGAAACGTGTCATCCCCCTGCTGACCGGTCCCGCTTTTAGAAAGGAATGTCATAGTCAAGATGGCCGGGCGACTACAGCAAGTAAAAGCAGGCGTGCTATTGAAGCTGTATTTGCCAGGGAACTCTTCTTGTTGGATGAAAGGCAAGTTTAAAGAAAATATTTTTTGTCTGAATTTCAGTCTGGAATGCTACCCAGGACTCTCAACCAGCTTTGAACTTGCAACTAAAGAAAGCGTTTGATCTTCTGTTTCTTTGACGTTGACAAAATGTCCTTCTTCTTTGAAATTCCCTTTTTGTTTTGTGTGCACGTGTCAAGAAATTTTAGAATTGCAAAGCTCTTGGGAGTAAGATCCCAGTACTCTTGGTTAACCTTTGACTGCTTCTAAGCGTTCTTCCACCAAGCTGGCATTCCTGAGGTATCGCTCATAAACATCTTATTCTTCTATTGTGGTTTGCAATTGGGGGCAGGTGGCTGGATTTAGCCTTTTCACTTAGAGGCTTTGAAAATGGATCCTCCAAGATAGTGCTTCACTCCTTTCAACACTTCCAGAGGTCTTTCTGGACACCAGCAACTAAAGAGCTTTGAGAGATCAACTGCTGTAGCCAATAAAATCAATAAGTTCTGGGGCAGATACTTAAGAAACTTAAAAATGACCACCAGCTCTGCGTGCTGCCCCGCCGTGTCACGCAGGCTGCGGCGGGCAGCAGTCTGGCTTGGCTGAGCGTGTGCACACAGCTAGTCTGTGGCCTCCAGGCTCCGGGGTGCTGCTGGCCCTGAGTCCCCCACCCCCGAGGCCGCCCACCACCCCGCAGCCCTGAAACCTCAGCTGCCCCACGGCCCCCCTCTCCCGCCTCCTCAGGATAAAGACCTGTGTGGTGACGCTGGGCCTGCTGGGCGACCGGGGTCAGCTCCAGATCCGTCACCATCATACCTGGAAGTCACTTGCCATGCAAGTTGCGTGTTCCACGTCCAGGACGCGAGCGGTCACATCCCCTCTCGCTAATGCCCAAGGACAGCAGGCCATGTGGGTGCTAGTGCAGGCTTCCTGCTCCAAAAGCCCAACCTTGCCAACCCGGCCTTGGGGAGCTGGGTGGGTCACCAGCCTCCATGGTGGCCTGGGGTCCTTACCCCTCTGATTCATGCCTCGGTGGAAGGCTCCCCCCACGGAGTCAGCCATCAAATGCCAGGACCGCCGCTCTCCCTGGCCTAGGGAAAATCCAGAACCACAGAGGCAGCCAGAAAGTGGGGCGCCTCTGATCTCTTTTCGATGTTTTTAGCAAGTGCTTTTTTTCATTGAATAAGACCTTTATTGCAGTA